CTATTCTATTCTATTCTATTCTATTCTTATTCCATATTCTATTCTATACCGCTTTACAGTGATTTACAGCTCTCTCTAAGAGTCAGCCTATTGCCCCTAACAATCTGGATCATTTTTACCCACTTCGAAAGGATGGAAGGCAGCGTCAATCTTGAGCCTGTGAGGATCGAACTGCTGGCAGTGGGCAGAGAGGGAAGGAAGGAAGGAAATAGCACTAGCACTACCACTTAGACTTCTATACCGCTTTATAGTGCTTTCCAGCCTTCTCTAAGTGGCTTACAGGGTTAGCCTCTTGCCCCCAACAATCTTAGTCCTCATTTTACCCACCTTGGAAGGCTGAGTCAACCTTGAGCCTGGTGAGAATCAAACTGTTGGCAGTTGGCAGAATTAGCCTGCAATACTGCATTCTAACCACTGTGCAACATGGAAGGAAAAGGAGGAAGGAAGGTAGGGAAAGAGCAATAGCACTTAGGCTTATATACCACTTCACAGCCCTCTCTAAGAGGTTTACAGAGCCAGCCTCTTGCCCCACAACAATCTGGGCCCTCATTTTACCCACCTCAGAAAGATAGAACCTTGAGCCTTGCGGGATTGGAAGTGCCAAATTGCAGCCAGCCAGAAGTAGCCTGCAGTACTGCCCTCTAACCACTGTGCCACCTTGGCTCATAATATATAAATATAAACAGAAATGACTTACATCCACTAAAATAACTCTTGCTAGGCCTGGTCAGAAAGCTTGCATGAAGAGCAGAATCTCTTTCCGGAGTGGGGTAAAAAAATCCCCACTTCAATTCATGCGCACCATTGTCCACCATTAGAGCAATCTGATGTACAGATGTTGACTGGTTGTGTTGACAATCCGGGGTCCTTAAGAGGACATCAAGAAGTGAGGGAACAACAGAAGTGTTCCTAAGGCATCCTCGCTTCCCAAACCTTTTTTTCCCTTGGAGGGAAAAATGAAAAAAAATTTTTGAGAGGAAATCACTTTTGTTTGTTATTTTTCGAGAAGTTTCTACACACGGAGAAGTTCACTGTCAGTGCAGCTGTGATTAATTTCCCTATGATCCTTCCGGTTGAGTAAGTCCTAGGGTGACCAAGTGTCAGAGGAGAATAAAACAAATTAGCTAGAGAAAACCTCTCGGCTGACAATTCTTGTCTTCTGCAACAATTACCTTACCATCCCTTCGTACCCATCAGATATATGAAATCACAGCTCCCGTCATCTGTCCCTTCTCCCGTATGGTCATATAGCGACAGCATGCAAGGTGAAGAGAGCTGTCATCCTCTGATCAGCAAGCAGGTCCTTGAGATCTTTGGGGAGATCCTTGGGATTGGAGGACCTCTGGGGTTGGACTAGATGGCCTCCAAGATCCCTTCCAACTCTTATTCTATATTCAGCGGAACGACTTGCCTTCAGAAGTTGTGGGAGCTTCATCCCTGGAGGCTTTCAATAAGAGAGTGGGCTGCCATCGATCATAGATGGTTACGGCAAGGGCCTTCAAACTTGGCAAGTGGAAGACTTGTGGACTTCAATTCCCAGAATTCCTGAGCTAACATGACTGGAGGAGGAATTCTGGGGGTTG